GACTGCAGACTGTGGGCCTCGTCACACCACTCTTGAAACCGTGTTTTCAAGAGTCCGAGCACCGCCACACAGCCTGTTGATAGTTTTTCCAAATTCACTTTCAAGAGGTGTCAGAAAATGGGTTCAAGAGTAGCTCTCGAAACACTGAAAACCCCAGGCCTGCAATACCTCTCTTTTCAAGCGTCCTCGCGAGAGCACTTGATGGGCACTTGGTTTTCAAGAGGTGTCAGGCCGTTACCCTGACACCATGGTTGGATCCGTCAGGCCATTCTCTAGAATGGACTCGCGAACAAGGATGAAGGGTTCATTCCGCAGCAGAGCCACACAGCACTCTTGAGGAGCTGAAAACAGATGCGCCCGTTTTCAAAAGTTCACTTTTCGAGAGTGCTGTGTGGCTAAGGCTCCTAAACTCTCGAAAAGTGACTCTTGAAAAATTCTGACAACTCTTGAAACATTTTTGCGTTTCTAAAGCGGTGTGGCGGAGGCCCTGTAGAGGGTTTCAGCCTCCTCATGAGTCAGTGAAACTCTGATGAAAGTCTGCCACAGTCCCCCATTTCTTGTCCCTTTCTCCCTTTCTGCCAACCGTCCACCAGGCAGTTATCAATGACTATACATAGATACGAGACAATACATGTCACGTATCACGTATCTATCAACTAAAGAGCGCATTTTGCAAAGCGACGAAGAAAATAGCAGACAGCGTGAAGCACACTGAACCCATTCTTTGGCTTTTTTCATGGTTTCTCTTTTATGTCTTTGTTTAGCTCCCCTTTAGGCTCGCCGGATTGATGTTGTCGAGGGTGAGCTCCCCGCATACCTGTGTGCAAGGAATATGAGTGGGAACGATATACAGAAAGCCAAGTTGCGAAATCACACATATGTCCAAGTAGTCGTGTACATGCAGAGAGCACAAATGCACCGAGATTCCATCCAAATAAGAGCGATTCAATGAAGTCATGAGCCAATGTTCAAGCCCTCAGGCCACACCAACACAGTGTCCAAAGTCGCTCCTCTCTGTCTGGCCCCCAGCGCCCAGCCTACACTACTCGACTACCCTACCTACATCAGCACTTCGACTCTTGAAGACCAGTGTACATGACATCAACACCATAGCCGACCTCTCTCATGTACCAGGTACGTGTCTCGTCTCCCCTCATCAGGCCCTGTCCACCCACACTCGCCTCCTTCCTGAAGGCCACTGATCACCCTCTTACCCCGTAGCGCCCTGCAGCCCGGCTATGGCTGCTAGCGCTCCGCTGCCCAGCAGCGCCCCTCTTCTCCTCACATGCACCCGCACGCGCTCTGGCCATAGCGCAGCACGCAGCCTCTAACGCAGCAGTGTGACCGCATTGTCTGCGCGGCCAGAATGCCAGACCCTGGCTGCCTGCCTTCCTATATGGAAGTGGCAGCCTCTGCTTGGTTGCGTGTGGCCTGGGTGGAAGCTTCCAGTAGCTTCCGGTTGGGCCCCAGTGCCTGCGCCCAGGCCCGGTGCTACAGTTGAAGGCCTGGGCCCTATACAATTGGGCACGTCCTGAGTCTCCAGACTTGGGCCGTTTGCTGCATTTGCACAGGACCCGGGGTATGTACGTCGACAGTGTTCCTTTTGTGTAGGCCTGTGGCCACTTCGTGATGTATCGGCCCTTCATTGTGTGTATGTGCCCAGGCGCAACTGCCAAGGCCTGGGCCAAACTGTACGACGCAGCTTACGGAGGCTCACGCATCCACTCAACCAACTGACGGGCTGCAACAGCCTGAGTACCCACATATGAAAAATATGGAATTTTGGCCTTTAGTAAATATTCAGGCCCGCCTTCACTTAGGGCGGGCACTTGGCTTGCTGGGGGCCTCTGCCCAGAACATGTGCATGCTTGACAAGGGCCTCGCGAGGGCTCATTCCTCACATGTGTGCCATCATAATGGCCCGCTTGCACACTGTGAAAAAGAGGCAGAGTAAAGAGAAGAGATAAAGAGAAGAAAGATGGACGGAAGACAAGGAAAGTAAGGAGTGTGGAATGAAGATGCAACAGACTGTTCTGTTGGAGTTTCACCAACTCGTCAGGGGGCTGGACCCTCGAGCCCGGGTGAGCCATAGGCAGAAAGGGAGAAAATGACAGGATATGTGCCGCTGTCACAGACCGTACGTCGTCAGATTTTGACAAACTCATCACGAGGCTCAACCATCTACGGCTGCAGAGTTCCCTAACCGATGATACTGCAAGTCATAATCCTTCTTAACCCTGGTTGCAGTTTAGCATCAACGACCAACCACTGCCCTGAACGGTACCTGTACCAAAATCAAAGCAGACTATCACTCACACACACGAGACTGAAGACTCTAGAGACTGCAGGTTGCGCTGAGGTGGGCACCAACCACTGCCCTGAAGAGTGCCTGTACCAAGAATCAAAGCAGACAATCACTCAAACACACAAGAAAGAAGACTCTACAGACTCCAGGCTCACACTATATCACGCCCTTATGATGCTGGATCCTTTCATTTCTGGAGAGCATCGGCCTGGTTCCTCTCCCATATGTGAGTGATAGATAACACAAAGAAAATTAATGAGTCGAACCGATTCACAGGAACACTTCCTTCTGTTAAGGCTGAAGTACCCCCTGAACAGCATTGATTGGCAAAAACCCAACTTTCAGTTCCCAAGATCCGCCGATGTTCTCTCTGTCACACAGCAGAAAGTACCTCTCCCCCAGAGGGTGGCCATCTTACTCACAGCAATCGAGACGATTCGCTCACACCCAAGCTAACTAAGCAACCGAGACGGGTTACACCAAAGCTAACGAAGCAACCAGTCCAAGGTGCGGCATCGACATATTGGATAAGACAGGGAAAGAAAAAGGAAAAAGCACTTGGCAAAAAAAAGCACTTGGAAAAAGCAACCCTTACTCACTGTGAACAAGTCAGCAAGCCAAGCTTGTGTTCGACAATTACGATACGTGAACTTGGTTGCAAGGACACAGTGAGGGGCAATACTGACTGCCGACCACCACCAGTACCTGCGGCGGGCCTCACATACCGAAATGTTTGTGTCTTCCACTAAAACAGTCTGACATTCCCACTTCACCGCCGACCTGTGTTCCCCTTGTCCTCCCTCCCTCCCTCCCGGAAACCTTACACACATCAACAAGAATGTTTTGATCCATGCCTACAAGGCCCTGATACAACATATGGAAAAAGGGAAACCCGATCGCGCTACTGGTTAGCTGTGTGAGGCATCCTCAGCATCCCTCCTCTGACCATCTCGCAAGTACCTACGGCATCATGGTGTGAAGCCAAAAAGGTTAGGTCAGCCCAAGAAACCGGTGTCGGTTGCAAGGCAGCAGCTTCAGTCTGAAATCTATACAGAAAAAAAGCAGTAATGAGCCAAAGGAATGTGCATGAACAGCAAAGGGATGGATACTGGGAATGGAAGCATGTTCATGCCAGTCTGCGTTAGCGAGCGGAGGAGGGGAGTGAGTGCCAGGACGTTGGCATGGACAGTGCGGTTGGAAGTGTGTGCTCGTAGGCTCTCCGTATTTTTCTTTCTGCCACCAAACAAGTTAGAAAGCGCCGAAACTGGGGAGATCAGTGAGAAGACAAAACTCGTAGGCATGGAGAGTTTATGCAGAAACAACACACACTGATCTCCCAGTTTCTTTATGGCGAAGAAGAAGGAAATTCTCACTGGTCTTTTGGATGCCCATGCTGAGAGGAATGGCACACACAACACTACAAAGAGCTCCAAATAATCAGAAATGTAAGACAATAACAAATATATATATATCGTCACAAACAGAACTGCCCGGTAAACCGTAGGCAGAGAGAGAGAAGAGGACAACAAACGAGGGGCTGTGACAAACTGTTT